GCGGGCCCCACCCCCAACGGCCGCGGAGCCGGCCGGGCGCGGGCAGAGAGGCGGGAGGAGGGGGACGCCCGCAGACCCCGACCCGGGACGACCTGCAGACCCCCGGCCGCCCCCGCCCAGGCCCGGCCGGAGACCCAGGTCACCCCACCGCCGCGACCAGGGCTCCGGGTCAGGTCCGGCGCCTGCCGGGCCTCGCACGCGACCCTCGTCCGGCCTCCCCCTGCCCACGGCGGCGCCTCACCGCGGACACGGGCGGCCGGCGGCGGGAAGCAGGGAGGGGGCGGCGGCCCGGGGCTCCTCTCGGCTCTGGCTCGGCTGTGCTGGTGGCGGCGGCGGCGCCTCGCGCTTTCCTTTCTCTCCTTTCTCCAACAACAAACAGGAAGTACGTCACGCGGCGGCGGCGCGGCGACGTCCACTTCCGCCCTGCCCTGACGCCGCGCATGCGCGGCCGCCGCTGCCCACGCCGGGCCCCGGGGAGGCCTTACCCCGCCTCTGCCTTCGCGAAGGTTCTCGAGTCTTCGGCGGGCTGGGGGCGGGGAGGCGGCCTGGGCCGCGAGGGAACAGGTGTCTGCCGCTGGGCAAGGGCCCTCTTGCGTCTTTCTCGTAAGCACGGTGCCCTGCCCGCCGCCACCGCGAGGAGGCGGCGGAAAGCAGCGGCGCGAGGAGGCCCCCGCAGGCAGTCCCGCGGGGGAGACGCGGCAGAGGGCGCCCGCCTTGCGGCGGGGCGGCGTGGGAAGACCCCCGCCCTCCCGCAGTCCCCGCAGGCGGCGGAGGTCCGCGGTGAATGATGACGGAAGCAAAGAAAGCGGTGGCCGAAAACGCAGGTGCGCGGTTCAGCCTGCGTGATGCGGGTGTCCTGGAAACTCGGCGCCGGGTCTGTCCCGCCGCCTCCGGCCTTTCCTGCTTCAGCAAGGGTTCCGTTTCCGAGACGTGAAAACCAGCACGGAAGTTCGGAGACAGTGGTTGCATTGGAAAATACGACGCACATCCTGGGAGTCAAA